TTTAAAGATACTAGTTTTCAAAATTACTATCATACTCGTGTTTCCTACAATAGAATAAATTTTTAGGATTGTTTCTAGAGGCCTTTTAGTAACTTCCCTTCGTAAGACATTTCTGTTAATAATCATGTGTTAGCCTTTAGTGATGCTTTCAGCTCTCACCTGAAAGCATCTTCCTTTAATGAGGAAGAAAGCTCTTATGTAATCTAGTCATTAGTGGTCAGTTTAAAGTGCTCTTCTCTTTTTATGCCATGTTTCCTTTTCCTTTAAAACTTTTGGTATGCCTGAAATTGAACTACGGCTAAAAAAAGCACAATGTGTTTTCCTGTTTAAGCAATAATTTTATTTTGTTTTAAAAATTACCATTGAATTTCTTATGAATCAAAAAGAAAACAAACCTAAAATCTCTCCCATATAAGAAGTCTTGTGGAAGGGTCAGAAAAGTATTGGAAAATCAGTGCCGCAGCTGAGAACTATGGGATACACAGATCTGGCTAGGCTGGGAGGCACTTCTAGGTCTGTGAGCTGCGGATAGCAGTTAGGAAAACTGTTCTTCTCACAGATCCTCTATTGCACTTAATGGGTAAAGGGCCCGGTGGCTTCCTCTGGCGTGCTCATCTATGACCTGATGCTTATAAAGTAAGAAGTGAGTTTCAGCTTAAAAACATGTATTTCTCTCAGGGGAGTTCTCTCATATTTATACCACAAGGGTTAACTAAGGTGGCTAGATATAAAATGTATGCTGGAAACAGTGTCTAGAGTGAAGTCTCCATGGGCACGGTGGAGGATGGGGAGAGCTGTGCATGTTTGCAGCCTGCTCAGTCTAGGCGTGCAGTGCAGTGCTGGTCCACATGTTTGCTGCTTCTTCAGTCAGAATTTGTTGGTGGGAGATGGACACAAAAGCTGGTCTGATTTAACCTGGATAATTCTGACAGTAGTCTTAGAGTCCAGGCCATCTGGCTGGCAGTGGCAGTATGCTGCGATGGGAAAGTGAGCGTGTGGAGCATGGCGGACACTGTTGGATGTCAACCCAACATCCTCTCCCCTGTGCTGTCTCCAGCAGAACCACAGTTTTGTTCAGGCAGTGAAACTCCTCCACGTAGCCCTCTGTTTCAGAGAGGCTAGCTCCATTTATGGCCTGAGCAGCGGGGGCTGTCTGGTCGGTGCCTTTCATGGCGGTGTGGCCCCCTGGCCATTGATTATACCAGGCACGGGATCGTGATGCTATCTGGCCAGTGATGCTTAAGAGGAAGTTTGCGAGCTTCTTCGCAGAGAGGTTTCTCTTCTTTTAAAAAAGAGGCAAAGCAAAGGGTACTTCCTCTCCTCCTTCTTTGGAATTTGTTGCATCTGAATGGGATGGCTGGAACAGCAGTTTTGATCTTGATGAGCAGCAGGGGAGCTAGTTTAAAGACAAAGCCTAAACTTGGAGCACTGCAAAGATGAGGCAACCTCAGAGAAGAGAAGCCTGAGCCAGGACAAACGTTGCTGACTGCCTGCTGCCCTGTGCCTACATACTTCATGTTAGAAGAGATACTAAATCCCTTTTGAGTTGGGCTAGTAGAAATTGCTAATTATCCCCAATGTCATTCTCCCCTGCTATCTTTAATTAGGACCCCCAAATTTTAGCATGTGAACTCCCATGATAATGATATTGCCCAGTCTCCTTTGCAACTAGATGGGGTCATGTAACTGAGTTTTGGCCAATGGCATGTAGGTACAAGTGTTGTATGTGCTGTGTCCGGAAAGTGACATGAAAGGGGAAGGGTATGACCTTGTTTGTCTCATCCTTCATGCTGATGGCTGGATTGTGACCATGGCTGGAGCCATCATCTTGGACCATGTGGTGTTCATGCGGAACAGAGTAACTGAACAAAAGGAACATAGTTTCCTGCGTATAGTAGAACCTCCAAACCAGCCCTGGACTACTTACCTCTGGACCTTAATAAGGGAGAAATAAACTTCCATTTTATTTAAGCCAGTGTTATTTGTGATATTACTGTTATCCAAAGACAAACCTCATCTTAACATATAATTGTCTTCTGTTTCTTGTGGCCAAAAGCATCCTAACCAATACACTAAGTGTTGCCTTATTGGGTCCCTTTTAAGAAAAATGAATCCAAAGAAACTAGAAAGTGGATAAAGATTATACTGTTAATATTTGCCTGAGTTTATAATTTGTACAAATGAATGGACTCCTCTAAGAAGTAAGGAATTGCAGCTGCCTTGGTGGGAGTAGCAGGGATGCGGAAAGAAGTGGGAGAGGGCTCAGTATAAATAATGATATTGATTACTTTCTGTTTTGATTAAAAAAATGCCTTCAAGCATGCCAAACTACCGATGAAGCTATTAAATAGTAGGAGTTTCAAATAAAAAAAATGACTACAGAGTGGGAATGTCTAGTGTTAGTACTTACTTTCCACTTCCTTCAGTCTTTGGAAGTGGAAACTAAGACCTTGAGAATAAGACCCTCTTTAAGATTCCCCAAATCTAAGGTTGCAAAGTC